GAGAGCACACCTGGATTTGAAACGTGCAGAGTTCAGTTCCTGCCTGTCCTGCTCGCTCTCAGCGGCGTGCTGATGGCAGACCGCAGCGAGTGGTTAGGATGGAGGGCGGTCGAGTGTAAAGGAGGCGAGAGAGCAGGCGGAGCTTCAGCACTTTGGTTTTAATACAGAAACACAAACAGCAGCACACAGTCCCAGATTTTCCTCACAGCACCGACAGCTGCACACCTGCCTCAGCGCCGCAGTCGCAGGAAGAAGGCGTGGCGGCACTCTGCGCTGTCCACGGGGTAATATTTATCATAAAAGTCCAGGATGTACTCCTCGGCCTTGAAACCGAACTTCTGGTACAGCAGCATGGCGGGGTTGCTGGCCGACACGTGCAGCGTCACGTCCTTTCCCATACACGTCTGAAACACGCACAAACAAACACGTTAGGGTGGTCGCAGCGGCACGGACGCCCCTGACCCGCCCACCTGCAGCGCACCTGGATCAGGTGGTAAATCATGAAGGTCCCGATGCCGGCCCGCCTCCACTCGGGGTGGACGAGCAGGAAGGAGATGTAGGCCTCGTTGTACTTCACGTCCGGCACCATGAAGCCGAAGCCCACCACCACCTTCTTGTAAAGGACGACCACGCTGAAGTCAGGGTACTGCAGGCACTCGGAGAGATCCACACCTGTGGGAGGAGCAGACGGAGGTCTGAGCCACGGCCGGGCGGCGCCACGGGGCGTAACGGGCGAGCGTGCTACCTGGCCAGAAGCTGTCGTGACACATAGCGTTGACGGAGGGGATGTGGTTTGGACGGACGTAGCAGTAGTCGATGGGAGCGTCGGGTTCGGGTGCCCAGCCCGCCTCCTTCCTGTGCGGGTACGCTCGGATCTCGGCCAGCAGCCGGAGCTTCGGCGGGCGGCTCTCGAAGTCCCGCCTACACAAAAGAAAGATGGAGAACGCAGGTGTGGGCCTCCATAGGGCTGCTCGATGTGACGATATAAAAACATCGTTTCATTTTACGCTTTTGTTTCGTGGTGTAAAACAAACTGTTTACAGCAACATTTGTTCATGTTCTGATGTCGCTGTAAGTTCTCTCTTTCTCTTATATTTAACCCTTTAAAGCCGGTCAGAGCGGGCACGCTCCGTTTTGCGTAACTATTTTTAAATCCATGTAGAACCGGAACCACGTAAGCTAGTGCAATAAGTTTTTTTGCATATGAAACCGGAGGAGTTGTACTTTCATCTTATGCCATCAGCTTGTCCTCGGTCACAGTTTTTTTCCACATAAAGCTTTGCAAAAACTGCATAAAAACATAATATTCCAGAAACACGCTTTGCCGATCCGATCAGCTGTTTGTAACACTTCCCACATTGAAATAGACGTCAGCGCGAACAATCGCATGTCCGCCATTTCCTGCCCGAAACCGGAAGTGACGTCATTTTCGCGGAAAATTTAGTTTTTTACTTGTAGCCCTTAAAAGCCTATACTGGTGTTTTTATAAGTCATGTTTGACTTTATGCTTTTCTG